ATTGCGATAATCAATGACTGTAAGAATAGTAGACATGCCGTGTTTTCCAAATGACAAAAGGAATATGTCAAACCAAGTGGAGGTCTAATGTGGATAGAAGTACCTCAGGTCGGTGTTTTGGTTTTCGCGAATGTAAGCCATCTACATTAATCAAAAAGATATGTCAGAGACTTAATGATATTGAAACGATGCTCTGATACCACTTGTTTGAGTCTAATGAATTAGGAATGTTAAGGCCTAAGTTAATATCACCAAGGCATACTCAAGAGAGGGGGTGAATTGGTAGTTTAAAAATTTTAAAGCCCATCTTTTAAAAATATATTGAACCGAAATAAAATTTGTTTCTTTTAAGTTTTGTAGATAAAGTTTTCAACCATAGAGTTTTTAAAAACAAAAAAATTAAATGCGGAAATGTAAAACAGTAAAAGTAAATGACACCGAAATTTATATGTGGTTCAGTCCTAAAAACCAGACCTACATCCAACTCCCCAAAGAAGGCAGATACCTCCTGAGTATATTGCATGCTAATACCAATTAGTGATCTCCCCTTTACATGATACACAAGCAAAGGCGGAGAAGCCTTTACAACCACACTCTTTTCACCACTACCTTGCCGGTGCGGCAGGAAACCGTCCGTCCTTTTTGTTTTAACACTAATCCTAGTGTTGGCAGATGAACCGTACCGTCTTTTCACACTTACTCCTAGTGTGGGCCAAGAGAAACCCTTTCGGAACTATTCCAACTCTACTCAAGTGGTAGGCAGAGAACTCCTTTGGCTATCACACTCTCTACAGTGTAAGGCAACGAACCCTTCGGCTATTTACACCTCTCGCAAAGTGTCGGCAAAGAGAACCAGATATCCTTGATAGATCCTTCTCACAGAAATCTAGAAGGATAGAAGGAAAAGATGTGAAGTAATACCCAATTCAACAAGTAGAGATTCTTACCTTTGAACTCCAAGTGAAGCCTTTACGCTCCAGTGGGTCAGAAATCCTGCGACTTTGAAAATGAACTCTTACACTCTCCCTTTGCTATTCTCAGTCAAAAAAGCACGAAGATCAAATTGACAAAAAAATTGGGTGACAGTCTAATTTTGGACTATAATATTTACAAAAGAATAAGAAAACCGTCCAAAAAACTGTAAGTTTTCAATTATGTAGTGCAGTGGATGCCTCCCGTGACGATCGTCGGATTCATCCTGGAACGATTTTACCTTAAACTATTTGAAAACGACCCATTTTGTATAAAGTGCGAAATGTCTTCGTACAGATGATCGTACCCGTATGAATAATATTCCGTCTAACCGGTACGAACGGTTTATTATAAGGCCGGTTACTATGAAAACTGCATAGAAAACCGTTCTAGTAGTCGGTTAATCCGTCTGGACCGAAAATTTGTTCGTACTAGACGAAAATCAACAGAGGACCATAGCTCATGTAACGATAATTAATTTTCGTCTGGAGCAACGAAATTTTAACACGAGACCAAGATCGCCTGGATCGATTATAATTTTTTTCCTGGAACAAATAGGACTTAGAAAATTATTCTCAGCCAGTTTCCTATTCGTTTCCATGTGTTCAATAGGAGATAACTGTCAGAAGCTCGTTTCGTACGAATGGATATCTTCCCGTACAATCCAGGTAATAAATTATATATGAAATAATCCTTTATGTGGTATGTGTATGTTTTTTATTTACTTCAATTAAAATAATCACTCTCTTCAATCAATTTTTGATTCAAAGAAAAGTACAAGCTATCAAATTTTACAAAGTATTATCAATGCTGAAGATATTGAATTTGAAAGTCTTCGCAGTCTGGAGTTTGATTTTTCACTGATATTTAGATAACACACATAGGAGCAAATACAAATCTTAAATCTTCTAAAATTGTTAGGAGATAACTACATATTTTTACAATAATGTTTGGAATCATCAAAACTATATAAGTTGCAAAATGTAAAGCGTGCAAATAGCAACTAACTTAACACGCCGTTGGCCAAGGCGACCAATAGTGTCTACATTAGAATAATTTGAGACCATATTACTACGGGAGCGACCATACCAGCACTAGTGCTCCAGATCCCAAAAGAACTCTGCAATTAAGCGTGCTTGGATGAGAGTAGTACTAGGATGGGTGACCGCCTAGGATGTTCTCGTGTTACACCCTTTTTTCCAACCAGTCATCTTCTTTTTTTTCAAGCTCTTTGCCACGGCCTACGAACACTTGGCTTGTTGGCTCACCGTGTATTGTGGGACCCATGAAGGAATCTGGCAGGTCCTACATGGCGACCACACGGGAGCATCAATAACTTTCCACCCAAGTGAAAGTTCGTTAGGGATGTTAGGCCCTATGAACTGGCCCAAGAATAATAAAGAGGAGGGTGAATTGGAAAAGAAGAATCTTTAAATCAGAAAAACCAAAGTGAGAAAATTAAATGCGGAAGCATTAATAAGAAAAGAACACACTGGATTTATAGTGGTTCGGTCAAACCTTGACCTTTGTCCACTCCTTGGAGGCACCCTCCAAGTATTGCACTAAACTAAGTGTATCTCCTTTAGCCCCCATAGCTAGGCGGAGAAGCCCTTACAAAATCACTTCCACCTTGACCTACGTCCACTCCTTGGAGGCACCCTCCAAGTATTGCACTACAAAAGTGTCTCTTCTTTAGCCCCCACAACTAGGCGGAGAAGCCCTTACAAAATCACTTCCACCTTCCCCGGTGCGGCAGAGTCGCCGGGTCCTATGACATCAAAGAGATCTTCTTCTTTGGTGAACTTCCCTCAAGATAAGCCTTGAATCCGATGGTATTCAGGTGCGAGCTTGCTGGAGCAACCATGTGGAACACCCTCCACACTCCCTTGAGTCCCCCCTCACAGGATCTTCTCGCTCTCTCAAACTCCACCCTTTCCTCACTCCCTTTCAAGCTCTCTATTAAAGTTTCCCCAACAACAACGAAGCTACAATGGCTGCCAAAGACTCTTACAAAGTGTTATGTCATAGCTTAAATAGAAGATCTCAAAATGAGCTCATTAATGCAAGTTGCCGACATTATCGTCCAGGATAATAGGCATATCTTCCTGGACGATCAGTACAAATTCAGCTCATCAGCCCGAGATGATTTGGGACGATTAGAAGAAAATTGGTTACATCGGCCTAACCGATATCACAATTGTCCCGACCGATTAGTTTAAAACTGATTTCAATCATCCTGATCATCGTCCAGAATCAATGCTGGCCGATGTAAATCATCTAGGACATCGTCCCGGCCGATCCTAAGATCGTCACGGACAATGTGATCACATTAATCAGCCAATAATGATTTCCAAAGATACCAGATCAAATTAGGCATAATTGAGTTAGATCGTCCTGGACGATGTGTATATCATCATGGCCGATTTCCTATAATAAAGAATACCTAATCTGATTATAGCGGTTAATTATTTTTGAATTGAGCCTATCGTCCTTGCTGATATAGGCATCGTCTAGGCCGATTAACATGTGACGACTGCCTTAATGAGGATGCCCTAATTAGGGTTTCTATTTTTGGACAGAATGTCCAGGATGATATAAATATCGTCCTACACGATGTTACCAAAAATAGAAATCTTTATGGAAAAATAGAAACTCTTCCAAGTTACAAATCATCAAGTGCCAAACCAAATACATCAGACTCAAGAAAGGAAAAAAGTGTACAAATTGACTCAGATCTAGTCTACCCAATCATGAGCTGGTTCAAATTACTGTCTGATCATGTGTACCTAAAATGTCAGTACAAAAGGTAATCGTAAAGAAATAAGAATGTTTGCTATCATCAAAATCATAAACCATAGATCCGCAAAACTAAGATTATAATTCATCATTATGACCCCATTTCAAAAAGCTTATTTCGAGCTGGAAGGAACACCGATGGCCATAGGCCTATCGGCGGGCGATGCATAGCCAAAAAAATGCATTTTTGATCCCCTACGGTATGCAGAATGAAGATGCATCAAAATCATCTCTCCACGATGTCAACTTAAGAATAAATTCAGACCATATTATTACGGGTGCGACCATACCAGCACTAGTGCACCGGATCCCATCAGAACTCTGTAGTTAAGCGTGCTTGGACAAGAGTAGTACTTGGATGGGTGACCTCCTAGGATGTTCTCATGTTGCAACCTTTTTTAACCAGCCATCTCCTTTTTTTAGATCTTCACCACAACATATGAACCCTTGGCGGTGTTGGCTCGCCACGCATCGAGCGAGGAAACCCGCCTTGGTGGACCTGTGAAGGCTTCTAAAAGGTCCTATGCGGCGAATGCGCCAGAACATTAATAACTTTCTGCCCAGTATTTTGATTTGGCATTTTGACCCCATTCTAGAATGCTTATTCCAAGCCGGATGGAGCATCGATGGCCATAAGCCCATTGGCTGGGTATGCGCAGCCAAAAAATGAATTTTTGATCCCCTACGATCTATCAAAATGAAGATGCATTAGAATAATCTCTCCACGACGTCAACTTAAAAATAATTTGAGACCACATTACTATGGGTGCGACCATACCAACACAAGTGCACTGGATCCCATCAGAACTCTGCAGTTGAGTGTGCTTGGGCGAGAGTAGTACTGGGATGGGTGACCTCCTGGGAAGTCCTCGTGTTGCACCCTTTTTTCTAACCAGCTATCTCTTTTTATTATCTAGGTCTTTGCCACAGCCTACGAACCCTTGGCGGTGTCGGCTCGCCATGTATCAAGCGATGAAACCGGTAACGTGGGACCAATGAAGGCATCCGGTGGGTCCTACATGGCGACTGCACAGGAACAACAATAACTTTCTGCCCAGGATTTTGATTCGACCTTATGACCCCATTCCGGAATTCTTATTCTAAGTAGGATAGAGCACCGATGACCATAGCCCAATACATTTTTGAACCCCTACGATTTGTCAGAATGAAGCTGCAACAAAAACATCTCTCCACGGCGTCATCTTAAGAATAATTTGATACCATATTACTATGGGTGCAACCATACCATCACTAGTGCATCGGATCCCATCAGAACTCCATAGTTAAGCGTGCTTGGGCGAGAGTAGTACTGGGATGGGTGACCTCGTAGGAAGTCCTCTTGTTGCTCCCTTTTTTTAACCAGGCATCTCTTTTTTTTTCTAGCTCTTCTCCATGGCCTACAAATCCTTAGCGGTGTTGGCTCACCGTATTACGAATCTGTTTTGTGGTTTATGATTTTGATGATAGCAAATACTTTAATTTCTCTACGACTTCCTTATCTTCTAACATTTTAGGTCCACACGATCTGACTGTAATTTGTAACCAGCTCAAGAATGCGTAGACTAGGTCTAAGTCAGTTTATACCCTTTTTTCTTTCTTGAGTCTATTGTACTTGGTGTGGCTCTTGATGCTTTATAACTTGGAAGATTTTTGACTATCCCCTAGAGTTTACTATTTTTGGTATCATCATCCGGGATGATTTTTAATCGGCCTGTACGATCGGTTCAAAAACAGAAACCCTAATTAGGGCATCCTCATTAAATCAACCGTCATTATGTAAAAATATCGTCCTGGACAATTTTGTATCGGCCATGACGATAGGCTCAAAACAGAAAGAATCTCGTGCCATATCTTTTTAGGAATTACTTATTTTTGGGCATCATCCAGGGTAGGGGTGTCAATTTCGGGTCACGGGTCGGGTTCGGGTCAAACCCAAAATTGACCCGGCACTGTTCGGGTTCGGGTCGACCCGACCCGTTTTTACAAACGGGTCAATTTCTTGGACCCGAACCCGACCTGCTTCAGGTTCGGGTCGGGTTCGGGTGAACCCAAACCTGCTTGTTTCAACCTTGGCAACAGGCTTGACACTGGGGCGGGGCGACGGGGGGCTGGTGCGACGCAGGGCGGGGCGATGCGACGCGGGTCTAGCG